GTATTGTGTACAGACCTGTCGAAGGATTAGTTTAAAGGTACTCAACTCAAAATGTCCACCAAACACTTACTGACCCTAAACGAAAATATCCGTGGTAAAATTTGCGTAGATGGCTCAGCTCGTGCAACTTGTAAACTTGCTTTACTTTTGTCTGCCATTCATCAAAAATACCTTTTAATTAAGAGTAGAATTCTTTGTTACTCTTTTAGCTAACTTCTAATTCCATGATCACTGTTTTCGAAGTGGAGAAACCCGGCGGAATAACAATAGCTATTTCCCTATACACAAATATACAAAAATATATAAAAATACACAAATATATATTCCCAAATATATTATTCCCAAAATATATATTCCCAAATATATATTCCCAAATACACGGGTGGCATCTGTCGACCGTTAAAATACTTATATAATTTGGATATTCTTTTCTTTGAAATGTACAGTGCTTGATTAATTTTGAAGTACTTTAAATTTACTATTCCCGGGAAAAGGTCCAATTTTCAAATGTATACTGAATTTGCCAATAGAACATTTTCAACTCGAGTATGAAACTACTGCGTAATGCTGGATAACAATGGTTCGTCTCAATAGAAATTGGTATAAACTTCCTCTTTTTATGATAATCGATCTAAATAACCACAAGTGATTATCTAAAATGTAGGTAAATAGACTAAATAAACTGTAAACTTCCGAGAATCAGGAAAACGAAGTAAGAGAAAAAAGTTCTCTAAATGAGTTTTGTTTTATGATTTCTCGATTATAAAAGAAATCCTCCAAGGGGTTCTTAATCGCAATATTTAAGCGTATATTCGTTATCTTATTTATCTCAATACATTTATCAGGCGAGAAATGACAACTGCCAACTTTGTTGACTTAAGCTTCATAAAATGCTATCTTGCGGATTGAGCTGCTTGATAAAAGACCGTTGTCTCGGATTAAGCATGGAATTTTCTACGTTCTTCATGTTCGTATCCCACATACCAGTCATGACTTACATAACATTAGGTAAAGGTGAGTTGCAAACTAAAACTCATTTATCCTAAGATTCTTTTATGGTAATATCTTCTTTCATCCTTCTATCAAATCGATTTCACTGAAATTAAGCTGTGAACGCACTAGGCTTACAAATTGACATGTGGTAAGATATAAGTTTACGATTCTTTGTCAACCTAAATCCAAAACCCTGTGTTCACATTCCACCCATAATTTATTGAAGAAGTCATTTCAGCAATCAAAACGTATTGTAGAGTTTTTAACCGTACCAAATTCCAAAGAAACTTAGAAATAAGTCAAAGGTAAGTAGCAAAGGGGTGGCATCTAAGCATGTATATAGTCCTCTCAGTAAGAGTCACCAGGGATACGTTTCGTTATAAGTAGGGGGAAATTTTACGTTTGAATATCGAACAGAAGCAGATCTTTACTGCCATTACCCAACTTTAGAATTCATTTTTACCCCAAAATAATGGTGGCATATGGAATAAACGATTTGCATTTTCCTCGTTGTCTGTTTGTTTAGAGACATAGCTTACATCTATCGACCGAAGGTTAAAAATAGGATTTTTCTTGTTGGAGCGAAAGAAAGCTCGCGACACATAAACGTTTAAGAATTAGGTTAGTGACCTTAAGTGGAAATACTCTTCTAAAACTTTTGCTCAGATGTCTCGGGCAGCTCGAATGCTTGATTTCATTCAAAATTCATCCCTCTGCGTCGGCTGTCCCTGAAATATATTTCATCAGAGCAATTATCTTTTTTTTTCCTGAACATCGGATGCTCTGATCAAAACTTTTTTAGCAGGTGAATAATAATAGTAACAAGAACTGACATGTTTTGGGAGATGCTAAAAAGAGGAGGGAAGCTTTCAACCATCAAAGAAGTGACGACAGTTTATACTAATCTCCCTGGTGAATGCGTAAAAAAATTTTAATTTGACTATTCCTCATCTCAGAAATGTCTGTTCGACCCTTTTTTGTTTTGAACTCTCTATTGTCGGATTTTTCGTTAGAAACATCTTGAATCTGAATATCAATCTACAAAGTGATGTTAGACAACAATGGCTCACTCTTCAATATACACAATCTTCCTAAATACACTACATTAGCGGTGACAGCGAAACTGAGAAAGGCAAATAAAAACAAGCTTTCAATTATTTTCAGAGAGTAGGACATCTTGTTTTAAATTGAAACATGGAAAAATGTTCTCACGGCCAACGATCTCAGAAACAAACAACGTCACACATTTCGGTAACTTTCTGTAGCATACTGAAACCATGTTGTTTATCTCGGCCTTGTGGGCATGCCATACAAATATAAACCGCTGGCCGGTATCGGCCGCATACATTACATCTCTCTTCTCATATGTGAAAGGAAGAAACAAACCCTAGCTAAGGCAACTCTAAACGTTCTAGAGTCAATAATGTAATGCCCTAAAATTAATAATGCAGAACTCAACAAATGTCCAATGTCCTCAAGTCAATAAGAACAATAGGGAATCCAACTCAAAAGCAGGGATGACAGATCACTGTACCCACATTTGTACGAGTGTCAATTTGTGACTCTATAAGTCAAGTCTTTTAGGGCAGCGAACCGCGCGACCAACTCTGGTTGTGTACAGCTTATCTGGCTGGGAGATTTCAGCACTGGAGGTTGTGGCAGGTTCCGGTTAATGATTCGATGGACGGTCGCAGGGTTCCATGGACCCCGAGGAAGACAGAGCGTTATTGGGATGGGGTGTACTGTCATCTGCGGCGGAATCTGAGCAATGCTCAGTAGTATTGGCAGCTTCAGTTGATCGACGCAAGTGTCTCCGTTGCAGCGGTACTCATGCCCACCTGATTCCACAATGTAAGAGCGTGGGCTGACGTGCCGTTTGACAACGATGGCAGGGCTCCACATTTTGGATCCTGGACTGGGTGCCATTCTCAATTGGCTACCTGGGCGAAGGGCGGAAGATCACTTGCAGATTTCCTGTCATGGTAGAATTTCTGGTTTGCTTTCTGCTGGTTTAAACGTTGCATGACGTCTTGACGGTTGTATGCTGTGGGTGTGAGTAGGTCACGAAGAGAGGGGACTTTGTTTCTCGGGCGTCTGCCCATCAGTAATTGTGCTGGTGACAGGTTGACTCCTTCCAGTGGGGTTGTCCTGTAATCCAGGAGGGCGAGTTGCATATCAGCGGCTTTCCTCCAGAGACGCTTTACTGTCTGCACCGCTCTTTCGGCCTCACCTCACTGGGAAGGTGGGGGCTCGAAGTCTTGTGAGCAATGCCGTATTCTTTGCAGAATCTTGCAAAATCCTTTGAAGCGAACTGCGGACCCCCGTCACTTCGGATCACATCAGGTATGCCATGTCGGCTGACCTGTGCTTTCAGTACTTCTATGGTTGCTTTACTTCCCATGTCTTGTAGCCTGTCGACTTCAATAAACTTCGAATAGTAGTCCACTGTTAGCAAGTAGGTTTTGGACTCAAAATCGAAGGGATCTGTCCCCACCGTCATGTAGGGTAATCCGGGAGTTTCTGTTGGTATTAGCGGCTGGGGGGTTGTTCCCTTTGGAATTCGGCGCACTTGGTACAGTTCTTAACCGTTTCCTCAATGTCGGAGTTCATAGCTGGCCAATATAACACTTCACGAGCAAGTTGTTTGCATTTAGTTATACCCAGGTGTGATTCATGGACAAGGTTCAGCATTTGTCGTCGTAGACTGGGGGGCACTATGATTCGCATTCCTTTGTAAATGATTCCATCGCATACAGCTAGTTCACCTCTGGAGTCCCAATACGGGCGCAGTGATGTAGGTACTTCTTGTCGAACATTTGGCCAGCCATTCAAGATTATTGTTTGTAGCTGGTTAAGCTCGCGCTGAGTGTGCTCTTGCAATTCCGTGTACATGTCTTTGGTGATGGATAGGAAGTCCAGAGTGCTTACTTGTTCCAAGTCGATGATTTCGGGATTGGATGTACCAAGCAGACATGCTCTTAATAGAGTGTCATGGAGATGCATTTCTTTGCCCTTGCGGTACTTTACGGTCAGGTCATACCACTGAAGGTTTAGTATCATTCTCTGTAGCCGCATTGGTGCTGCCAAAAGTGGTTTCTTCAGAATCTGTTCAAGGGGCTTGTGATCATTGTACACGGTTACTTCCTGGCCAAAGATGTAGGGATGGAATTTCTTGTATGCATGCACGATGGACAGCATTTCTTCTTCTATTTGTGCGTATCGTCCTTCGACGTTTGTTAAGGAACGTGAAGAATAGGCAATAGGCTGGCTGTCTTGAATAAGTACAGCACCGAGGCCGTGCTGGCTTGCGTCACACTGTATTTCCACGAGCTTATTGACGTTAAAGTATTTTAGTACTGGTTGACTGCAACGTAGCTCTTTAGTTTCAGGAAAGCCTGTTCTTGAGGTGGTTGTCAGTCAAACAAGGCCTCTGTCTTCAGGAGCTCTCTGAGTGGAGCGTCCAAATCACTCAGGTTGGGAATCAATTTTGCAAGGTATGTGATGAATCCAAGGAATCGTTTAACATCATCTTTGTTCCTTGGAGTGGGCATAGCACGGACAGCTGCTACCTTCAATGGGTCTGGCTTTAATCCTTCAGATGTTAGGAGGTGTCCAATGTATGGGACCGTTGGTTGTCGGATTAAGCACTTCTGAAGATTCAGCTTCAAGTTGTAGCTGGTTGCTCTTTCGATGACCTTGCGAAGCACTGCGTCATGTTGTGCGGTAGTTGATCCTGCGATCAGAATGTCATCCATGATAGCAGTGGTTCCCTCTATTCCTTCCACCATCTGATCCATGATTCTCTGAAAAATTTCGGGCGCGCACTTGATTCCAAACGGAAGTCTCAACCACCTGTACCTACCGAGTGGCGTATTGAACGTTGTGAGCAGTAAAGAAGCTTCGTCAAGCTTGATTTGGAGGAATCCACTCTTCGCATCCAGCTTGGAGAATACCTTGGCATCGGGTATTGTGCTGATGACTTCCTCTATGGTTTGCATAGGATGGTGCTCACGTTTGATGACCTTGTTCAAGTCAGTGGGATTAATACAGATGCGGACTTTCTCGCCTTGAAGCGAAACCACCATGGAACTGACCCACTCGGTTGGCTCTGTTACTTTGACTATGTGGCCATTGGATTCGATTTCATGGAGTTTGTTGATGGCCCTTTCCTTCAGTGCTACTGGGAGGCGGCGGGCGGCATTTACCACACCTTTGCCGTTAGGTTCCAATTTGATTGTGTAGGCTCCAGGCAGTGTACCTGTTGTTTGTGTGAGGTCCGGGAACTCGGGAAGTCCTTGGGGAACTTGATCTCCCTCGGCGGCGGTGGGTGTGTCAACGGATGCTAGTCTCGAGATTAACTGTAGTGCTTCAGCTGTGTTTCCTGATAGAACGTTTTCGATGTCGATAATCTGAAATGTGGTGATGGCCCGGTTGCTGTTATGTTCCAAAGACAATTCGGCCACTGCTACAGGCTTAGTCTGATGGTTGGAGTAAGTACGAACCACTTTTGTTGATCTTTTGAGTTCGCCCTCGTGTTGGATCTTCTGATAGTCAGAAAGATTAAGTGTGCTGCAGCAGGCGCCTGTGTCAATTTTAAACTTGATTTGTTTGTTTTCTACTCTGCATCTTATGGTCCACTTGTCATCTGGCACAGTATCGGCAGGCTGAGTCATGTGAATGTGCAACACCTCCGCTTCTGAGTCATCGTCTGAGCTGGTGTCGACTTTGTGTGCACGAAGACGGCGGTTGCATACTGCTAACCAATGGTTGGGTTTCTAACAGTAAGAGCATGTGGATCCCAGGGCAGGGCATTTTCCTTGATTCCAGTCATGCTGAGGGTCTTTGCCACACCTGGGGCAGTGCTTCCTTTTTTCTGAGTCAGTTTTCTTGAGTGGACGTTTCGGTTTTTTGTGATCCAATGCTAATATGGGAGGTTCCTCGTCGCGAACAACGCGTACTTGCTTCTGGGACATTTCGTATTGTTGTCCTATTTCGATGGCTTTGGCTAGAGTTAGTTCTTC